CCCATCCGTTGGCAGATCATGCATGGGGACGGACATCACCCTTCCCCTTCCCCACATTGGTCTGTCATGCGGGGGGGGGGTGAGCATATATATATATATATTTATTTATTTATTTGTATTTGTTTTTTTGTATTTGTTTATATGTTTTTCATTTATTTGTTCGTTTGGTTATGTATATACTATATGGGCTTATCTACTCCCCCTACCCAGGTGGCCAACATGGACAAGGTCATCCTGCGGGTGCAGACAGCTGAGCTGGGGCTTCGCATGTCACCACCCATGCCGACAGCAGAAGCTTAGCAGGTAAGCATTTAGGCGGTTTAGGCGGTTTAGGGTTCAGGGTTTAAGGTTTAGGGTTTAACTTGGGTAAGATTGGAAGCTTTCGATGTCTGTGCGGTGCATGCAGCCCGTTACCTTTGTAGACAAGCTGTGTTAAAGTCGTGTGAAAGTGAGCCGGGGAAGAAAGGAAGTGGCCTTCTTGTTGCTCTTGGTGGCTTTGCCAAGCTTTGTGGCCCACGCCTCCAACGATCGTACCTTTCACATCATCTGCTTCTGGGCTCTTGTTAAGGGATTTAATTTAAGTTACCATAACAAGGAAACCATATTGTTTGGTATAGATCCCTATTATGGTAACTTAGATTAAATCCCTCAACAAGAACCCAGGCTCAGTCTACCTCGCTGTCGCGGCCTGGCTTTCTGTCCGGCTACGATTTGCAGAGCTGCCCTTTGCCGCTAGGCAAAGAGAAGGTTAGGTCTGTCAAACCTTGCTTGTGATATAGGGGCCTTCATAACTAGAATAGGGTTTGGGGGTATGTTTTACTACAGTTACAACAAGGAACCCCCGAAACCTTATTCTAATCATTAAGGCCCCACCATTACCTCAAACCCTAATCCACTATACAGCACTTAAAGCCTGATACAAGTATAGTAGCGAGCCCTGATGGATCTCAATAGACATCCCCTGCAAGGCTTTTAAGATCCCTTCTAGAACCATTATCAAACCCTGATGGATCCCTTGTAGTTGCCTTCTTTCCCAGAACCCATAAAGGGTCCTATCAGGTCCCTTAAAGCAACACCTAAAACAACCCTTCGGAGGACCGATCCTTGAAAAGGAACCCTTATCGATCCCTGTGGAACCTCCTAAGGGAACCCCTAACCCAACCCTAAACCCAAAGCCTTAAACCAACCCCAAACCCTAAACCCCAAACCCTAAACCCCAAACCCTAAACCCCAAACCCTAAACCCCAAAACCTAAACCGTAAACCCCAAAAACTTCGACCCTAAACCCCTAAAACTTGAAACCTAAACCCTAAACACCCAAATCATTAAGGGAACCTCTGAAGGGAAACCTGTAAAGGGCCTCAGACGCCCGAGGCTTCTTCGCCATTCCTGTGCGCTACATCTCTGCTCCTGGGCAGCTGGGCTGAACCTTTGGGTTGGGGCGTTTTAACCCCGTGTTAGGGATTATAGGGTTTAAGGTTAGGGGTTTAGGGGTTTTGAGGGTGTAGGATTTCGGGTTTAGGGGTTTGGGTTTTTTAGGCATCAGGGTTTAGGGGTTTAGGGCTTTGGGTTTAGGGTGCCGGGCTGAGGGGGCACCCAGGCGTCGACGTAGCGTAGCCTGGAAAAGGGGGGGAGGGTATGACCCTCTAGGTAGGGTCCTACCGAGTTACTAAACTAGGGTGGTTGGGTTTCAGGTTTCAGGTTGCAGGGTCTAGGCTAGGTTTCGGGCAAGTTTAGGGTGTAGGTCCTTCGGGTCCTAGATTCCCAGGCCCGGAAGGTTCTAAGGAGAGCCCTTTTACCTAGATAGTCTCAGTTCGGAAGGCCCCAAGAAGGTACCAGGACTCTTCGTGTGATCCTTTAAGCCTAAAGCACGGTTTAGGGTTTAGGGTTTGGGGGTGTAGGGTTTAGGGGTTTAGGGTTTAGGGGTTTAGGGTTTAGGGAACATTCCTAAGGGGCCCTTACAGGACCTCTTCAAGGAACCCCTTTGCAGGCCCAACCCTTACTGGAAGCCTTTGTTGCGGACTACATCATTGCCAATATTACGGCTTATAGGGTGCCTTCTAGCTCAGGGAGCCCAAAACCCTCTTCTAATTATTAAGGCCCCTACACTAAGCCCTTACAGAAGCCCGCATAATAGCTCATAGAAGCCCTTTTTATCGCCCTTCTATAGTGACCCTTTAATGGAGCCCTCTTCCAAGTATTTGAGACCCCATTTCGACTAAATAGGCCAAGTCCTGGCAGGGGTTCTCTGGCCTTGGGCTCCGGTTCCTGTCTTCATCGCGGCCTCCTTCGGCGAGCTGACGGCGACGGCCTTCACGGCGACTCGACGTGTGGGTAGGGCCGTCCTAAACGTTGTCCAAAAGCCTCTCTTTCAAAGGCCCCTTATTATCATATATATATATATATACATATATGTATGTATATGCAGGGCTTTTATCGGAAGTCTATGGCTTCAACTTTTGGGCTTTCGCCACATGGAGACCGCAACCACCGCTTCTATCACTGCTGCTGCCGCTGCTGCAACCACTACTACAACTACCACTGCTACTGCTACTGCCACTACCACTACTACTACTACTGCGACGATGACGGCTAATATGATGAACACACAGCTGTACGAGTTTTCTTGAGTAGTTACGATCCAACCGGAAGCAAAGAGTTGCTTTTTGTGCGAAGCCAGGGAACTCCTCAACAATCACGAAGCCACAGCACCCGAATCCCTTAAAGCCTTTATAAGCGGTAAACCCTAAACTCCAAACTGTATAATAACTGACGTCTCAGCTGTAAAGCCGCGAACTCCCAAGCCTCATGACCTGGTTCAGCCATCCTTCTACCCAAAAAAAGCCCCACCTCTGCTTGAATTGCTTGGGGTTCCTTGTGATGGGTTCTATAGTGTAACGCCTCAAAAACGGTAAGTTGTTGGGCCCCGAGCTTCCTTTGGCTTGAACACCCCGCCCATCAGCCGACGCCGAGCAATCCCTGCCGCCATTGTTCGCTGCAACTTTGCGTCCGATTCTTGGGCCCGTGGTAGAGGGCCGAGTTTCAGCTACCATGACCCAAGTTTGTCTATGTAGTACACTAGTAACTTTATACGCCAAGATTCTACAAAGCCGTGCATCTATGTCTATGTCTCTTTTGTTGCTATATTCACATCTATGCCTGTATCTCTTTCCAACTATATGCATATCCACAGCTATTTCTGCATCTATGTCTATTGCAAGCACAGCGGCCCGGCGTTTCAAAACCCTAAACCCTAAACCCTAAGCCCTAAGCCCTAAACCCCTAAACCCTAAACCCTAAACCCCTAAACCCTAAACCCTGGCCCGGCGTCTCCAGGAGCAGGAGCAGAAGCTATCCTGCAGCAACGGCGTCTCCTGGGAGCTGCACCTTTTCACAGCTCTGCTTCTTTGTCCTTCCTTGAACGATTTCTGTCAGGGATCTGTAAGGGTTTTTGTCCTTCCTTTATAAGGATTTCTGTCAGGGATCTGTAAGGGCTTTTATAAGGAGTTGGAGGTTTTAAAGGGGTTTTGAAACAGGGATCTGTAAGGATTTTTCACAAGGACCTGAAGGTTTTGGAAAAGGTGTTAAAACGGCTCTGCTTCTCAGCAGTTGTGCAGTGAAACTTCCAACGTTTTCGCGCTCCGTAGCTAAGTAGTAGGTAAACTTTTCACTTCTTTGTGATGTGATACCCTAAACCCTAAGCCCTAAGTGATGACGCTTTCTATGAAAGCTTGAGCTTCTTGTGCTTCTGAGCTGGGCAACTAAGGCTTTCTGCCTTCTGCACATCCCTTTGGGCCATAGTCCTCGACGGCATGGGCTCATTGGCTCATCATGTAGCAAGGTTTTCTATCTATTTTGTTCTTGCCTTGTAATTTCACATAGAACCCTATACCCGACGCAGCATCACTCAACGCCCAAACCTGTCTTCTTCATCAGTCTTTGCGCGTCTCCCGGCGCTATAGCCGAACACTGCCGAAGGCCTCAGCCCTCGTCCTAAACCCTGCGAAACCGTATTGGGTTTCGGGTTTAGGGTATTTCTTCCGTATAAAGGGACTGCTGACAATAAGATAGTCTGGAACGTGGAGAGTCAGGAATCAAGCGTCTTGCCGCGGAGACTGCACCACCGTGGTCTTTGCAGCGAGCGAAGCTAGTGGCAACTTGAGATCCCACTTAAGGGGGGGACCAAGACCCAGGAATGTAGCTCCTTTCTCTGGATAGCATATTTCAAGATTAGGACCCCCAAAATAGGGAAGCTGAGATACCCCACAGAAGGTACTATATGTTAGGGTCTGCGGAAAGCCAGGGTTCTGGGTGTGTTGAATGGAGCTTCGGGGTTAAGAGCTGACTCTTTAGAGATTTAGGATTTAGGGTTTAGGGTTTAAAGTTTATGGTTTAGGGTTTAGGATTTAGGGTCTCTTTAGAGCCTGTGCTCAAGGAGCTTGGATTTTTGAGGCTCAGAGTTCAGCGTCAAGGGCTTTAAGGTTCATTCACGTTGTGTTCCAATTAGTTCGATTTCAGGGGTTGAATTGTTCAGCACGAAACTTGAGCTCTCATCCACCCCCAAGCCTTTAAGAGACTGGCCTTTGCATGTCCTGAACCCCTTAAGCCTCAGCCCTTAACCTTCTTAATCCCTGAACCCTAAACCCTAAACCCCAAAAGCATAAACCGTAACTTCTTAACCTCTAAACTCTAAACTCTGCAGGTGTACACCCGACAAAAATAGCGTACGTCGGCTATAGGACGCTATCAAAACCCATCGGACCCTCACCCCCGAAGAGCCCTCAAGGGTTTAGGGGGCTTAGGGCTTAACAGCTTAGGGTTTAAACTTCAGGGTTTAGGGTTTGGAGCTTGAAGTTTAAAGTTTCGGGTTTGGGGTTTAGGGTTCTTTTGATTAGCAAGGTATCCTGGGCGTACGACAGCATCGGAGACAGGTACTTGGAGCCTTGGCCGCACCTTTGGGTCCAGAGTTTACAGTGCACGTTTGGATTCAGGGGCTTAATGTTTCTGGAGTTGAAGTTTAAAGAGTTCAGGGTTTTGGGAATTTGGGATATCTTTGGGTTCAGGCTGGGAGTGGTAGCCGCAAGTTAAGTTTGCCTATGGGCCGGGCTACAAGGCTTACATCCCCGGCAACTCATCTTCCTCTCGAACCACCACCCACTCTGCTTTAAGCACTATGGTTAGATTGCCGTAACCGTAACCCGGTATACGCCCTAAACCCTAAACTCTAAGCCTACCTAGCTCCAGGACCTGACTTCGTTTCTGGTGATGAAGGCCTGTGGCTACGAGTATTCCTGGCTCCCACTCATCTTCCTCTTGGCTGCGCTGATCATGCAGAACGTCGGGGGCTTGCTCTACGCATCCTTCGTAGCTGCTTGGGGTCGATATGCAAGCCAACTTCGAATTTGCAGTGTGAGATTCGGATGGGAAAAAATACAGATGTATGAGTCCACCTTCGTACATGTGTATGTCTCAGCTCCCGTGCATGTTGCGCATCCTCGGGGATGTAGCGCACTGTCTAATCTACTCTGCCGTCTTGGTCAGCCAAGGTTCACAAGGCTTGCAATTGCAGATATGTCCCCAGGCGGCCTTTGAAAAGATGTTATAGTTTCCCCTATTGTGCCGAAGAGGATCATGTTTTGAAAAAATTTCAGGAGCCTTTAGGAAAAACCCCTAAACCCTAAGCCCTAAACCTAGGCGCTCATCTGGGCCGTCATGATGCCACCCTGGAAACTGGTCGATCTGGATCTGGAAGCCGTGGGCAATTTCGGCACAGCAGTGCCTGGCTTTTAGGGTTTAGAGTTTAGGGTTTAGGGTTAGTTAGAAGGAACCTATATTTTTATTTTGCAATAATCAATACTGGTAGGGACATGGTATATTCAGCGCGCTTTCCTTATTCTGCTAATTCGTTTCTCTTGACGAGAATCCAGGTACGGTTGCTTGTCCAAGATTTTCCGCAGTTGGCTGTGAAGCTGCACTTCACTTTTTCTTTCTACGCAAGCTGGTTCGTGGTTTCAGACTGTGCCATCACCCTCTGCGTCGCTGCAATAGACCTCCTGGCGTTGGCGAGAGCTGGTTACCGTCCCACTTATCATCAGTTGCTTTTGCCACATGAGACGTCGCGGGCAATGACGAGAGGAGACAGCCCGGAGACACCCTAAACCCTAAACCCTAACATAAGCCTAGGGCTACACAGACCCTGCTTGGCCGACGTGCCAGCTGCTGGAGTTGCAGAGGGAGAACTAGAGGGAGTGGCTCAACCCAACCTGGACCCTTAAATGTAGTACGTTTTTATGGTTGCCTTCGTTTCTGATTATAGGATCCTAAGCATAAAATAGGTCATCCGATAGAAGGTACTACATGTAAGGGTCTAGGTAAACCCTAAACCGGAAAAACCCTCAACCCTCAACCCTCATGAGCCCTTGGATGAGAGTTGAGTGCAGTGCATCGAACTTAGAAGCCAGAATACGTAACACTTCCTCAGGGTTCCTGTTTGATTAAGAAAGGTTTCGGGTTTAGGGTAGCAGTCTGCCTAGACAAGCAGAGATGTTCCTGGCCCAAAGCCATCAAACTAAACCTTGCACCTAAACCCTAGTTTAGGGTCTAGGGGTTTTTAGGGTTTAGGATTTGCATCCTAAAATCATGAAAAGTGCAACATCTTCTTCTCCAGCTGTGTGTCAAAATTGTGGCCTGCAAAGCAAGCTCGTCCAACCTTCACCGCAAGCACTGAGCCTTAAAGTACGATGCAGGTCGCATCGGGGTCCACAGGGCCCAACAAGTAAACAGTTGGGTTCAGGGTATGACCCGAACCCCCTACATGCCCTACATCATGAGGTACATAGGGCGACCCTAAACCCTAAATAGAGCCTAAACCCTAAACCTTAGGGTTTAGGGTTTAGGGTTTATAAACCCCTAAACCGTTCTATAGGAGGTTTGAAGACAGGGACGATGCAGCATGTTGTTGGATTGGCAGCCAAGAGGCCTCCTCGTCTTGCTTGCTGCGAAACAGGGGCCTAAAGAATAAGCGCCATCATATGACTCATACTGCTGATGATATAAATCCTGCATTACCTTACAGACCCTAAACTATGCGAATTATGGTATATGCCCTATTATAGGTAATGCAGGATGTACATCATCAACCGTATCATTACTTTTGGTGCCTTAATGCTATTAATTTAAGATGCACCACCCAAACCTTATTTCCACAATTGTTGAGGTGCTTGAACAAGGCTTAGGGCTCGGTAGTTGCGGAACCGTACCAGGTATTTGTATATAGCTAGCGTCTTATTGTTACTCTAAGGGTCCATGTACCCAAAAAATCTATATACTTTAGCCCCGAAGTACCTATATAGGGACTCCTTCCCTAAACCCTAAACCGTATTTAGGTACATGGACCCTTGAGTTTTAATGCTTAGAGGTGCGCCCAGCCGAACTACTCGGCGGGTGGCAGCTCAAAAGAGGGATCGGCTAAAAAGATGCGTGGCATGGTCTGCCGGTTACTCATAGGCCCCTAAGTAGTTCCTTTTTGGGGTTATCTTATAGGACTCTAAATATAAACCATAAAATGGAACTACTTAGGGGCCTATGGGTTAAAGAGGAAGGAACCAAGCCCAGATGATCCTGAACTCTAACCCTAGGCTTCCAGGGACCTTATTATTGGGTCCTTAAGGGGTCTGGGGCCCTAACTATCAGGTTCTTTGGAAGCCTAGGGCCTTCCATAAAAACTTGAAACCCTCCTAAAGGCTCCTAAACGTGAGAAGCCCAGGCATAAGCTGCTTCGCTCTGATGTGCTAAGACTCTTTGGTATTACTTAGTAGGGAAGGAACCCCTAAAAGAACAACGTCCTAAGCCCTAAACCCGGCAGCAAGGGAAAGCTCATCCCTGCAACCCCCCCCTCACCCTTCAAGCACAGATGCAGCCAGAAAAGACCTGCAACTTCTGGAATATGAGTCCTGGAGAAGCTTGAAAGCATGGCATGGTTATTTTCTCGGCTTCCTGTTGATAACTACGCTGTTTAAACACCCCAAAACTCTCTTCGGCCACTATGTTACAGCCCCTTCTAAAAGTCACTTTACTTTGGCATGCTAACTGCGCTGAGCCCTACACCCTAGACCGTACACCCGCTTGAACCCCCCCCCCCCAAACCCTAAACCGAATATTCCGGAACCCCAAACCCAATGAATGGATGGATTCCGGTGCTTCCCTTCAATATGAGCGGTTCCCAAGGACGTAAAGCCCGGTCTATGCCCCTGAAATGGACAACTCTCATCCCATGAATCTAAACTTCAAAATCCGATTCCTGAATACAAAGCCTGAATCCTACACCTGAAGCTCAAGCCCTTAGGTCCTAAATTGCCCTAAACCCTTGCAACCCCAAATCCTGCAAACCCTATTCATACAACTTAATACACCGTTAGAGTTGAACCCAAATGCTGGAGTCTTATGTAGGAAAGCATAGGACTCTCTTTAAGCCAGGCAGCGACGATGGAACTCTGGCTTTAAGAGAGCCCTATGCTTTCCTACATAGGGGCAGTTCTTTAAATTAGGTTCTCGTTTTGGATCCCACATATAGTACGGCACCCTTATGTAGAAAAAGGATCCTAAACGGGGCCCTGATTTAGAGAACTACCCATAAGGATCCCGATACTTTCCCAAGGCATGAGGATCATGCTGTTCCAACTTTCTGGCCTCAGCTTTGAAGCCCTTATCGCCGCTTGTAGCTTATAACCTCCATTATAGTTCCTTTTCGTGATTGATACTTAGGATCCTACAATAAGGCAATCCCAAAAAGGAACTACTATGGAGCCTATGGGCATTTGAAAGACAAAGAACTGCAACACCGTGAAGAGGGACCCTTAGGATAAGCCTTTGCCTCTGATCCATAGGCCAAACGGGTTTTAGCAACCCCAAACAGAACCCCCAAAGAAACCCGTAACATAGGGGCCTTAATAATTGGAATAGGGTTTTGGAGCCCAATATACTAGAGTTGTAATAAGGAACCCCAGAATAATATTGGTAATTATTTTGGCCCCGACATTAGAAACCAAACCCTAGAGATGGGATCTTGTGTAGGACCCTTTGAAGGAACCCTACTCCTTGCTTCGCTTCGAGAGGAGCAAAGCATGCACGACGATCTGAGTCATGAATGAGGGTTTTGGGGTTCAGGTTTGGCGTTGGTGGATCGTAGGATATATTGTGGTAGGGTTTCTGGTTTGAGTTTAAGTTGGCTTTTAGCTTAGGGTTTCGGTGGCATTTTCGTGGGCTTGAAAGCGGAGATCCCTTGTGTGGCCCTTCTAACAAGGATCCTGGTAGTTTCTCGTGATGCTTCCCATGTACTATGCAGAGTACCCGAAAAGTTGTGGAGCCAAGGCCAAGCCAAAAGCACCCACGCAAAACCCAATATAAAGTCCGTATGTGGTAGACCCCACAAAACCCGTTAAATCCCTGCTGGTTCTAAACCCCTTTCAAAATCCCTCATGACGCCGGTATCAACCCGCTTGCACACAAACCCGAGAACCCTTGGAAAGCCGTCTTACTAACACCCCTTATACAAACCGATATAGCGTTCAAAGGACGCATCACACCCCTTGTTTAAGGCCCAGTACGAACCCCTAAAAGACAGAATCAGCAAAAGCGAACCATGGCCCGTGGCTTTGACTAAGCATCGGTGTCGAGCTTGCTTTTGTTTGGTAAAGCTTCTCGCCTTTTTGTTGTGTATAACTAGTGCGTTTACATGACATGTACATATCAGACTTCATATGGTTGCATCGACGGGATGCGTAGAGTCTTGATGACATTTGCAGAAAAGCTGGGATGGCGGCAGCGACCGCGCTATTTGCCTGAGTGGACCCATTCACTCACTCACTCACTCACTCACTCACTCACTCACTCACTCACTCCATGGGTACATAAATCCTGCTAGCAAACCAACCCTAAACCCTAAACCCCAATGCAACACCCTAAACCCTAAACCCCTAATCCCTCAACCCCTAAACCCTTAACCCTTAATCCCAGCACCCGGCACTAAACCCTCGAGCCAGGATCAGAACCCTGATAGTCTCAGGCTCTCTGGGAGAATCGATGCAAAAGGAAGATTACAGACAAAAGAAAACTTATAATACACAGGCATATCAGTTACAATATAGATACAATGGCTGTAGTAGCTGCAATACGGTTGATGATATAAATCCAGCATTTCCCATACTAAGGAATATACCCTAATTCCCATAGTTTAGGGTCCTTGAGGTAATGCAACGGTTTATATCATCAACAGTAGCTAGGTCCCTGAGTGGTACCCTTTTGCCCTTTTTATTTTAGAGCCCCCTCTTAAAACCGAATAGTAGGAAAAAGGGTACCCTTATTATAAAGAGGCTACTCAGGAACCAAGGTAGTTTCAACATGTGTTACCTAGACCCCCAAAAACCCTGCCTTTTTAAGGACTTATATAAGGTCATCATAATAAGGAACCCTAAAAAAGGAGGTTCTTAAGGGTCCAGGTAGTAGTTGCAATATGTCTGCATATTTGAGGCTCAAGGTCCCGCCCTTTATTTCAGCGTACTTTCCATGCAGAGCTTTGACGCATGGCTCCAATGACGCCTGCGGGGATGCCCAGAATTTTCGCAGGGGTAAAGTAGAGGCTGAAATAATTACCTATACTCTTTTGGGGGTTCCTTATTTTTTTTAACCCAAAACCCTATTCTCATTACTAAGGCCCCTGCATTATTAGTCGGGTTTTGGCAGTTGCAGGGTTCGGGCTCTGCAGTTGTGGGGTTTAGTTTGGATGCTGCCCCCACTCAGAAGCAGTGGAGCAATATTAATATTCTTGATATGGATATATGAGACCCTAAATAGTAGCCCCATTATAGACTGTTACAAGTACTGTATGGGGCAGTACATAAGGTTTAGTGTACGTTTCAGTTTGGGCTTCTGATTCGGGCTTTGTGCTTTCGGGCTTCTGGTGCCCGACCCAAGAAATCCCGAAAAGAGTATATATATATCCCAAGGGCGCAAACACGACTACTACCTAGATTCAGGATGTCGGTGTGTGCAGGTTTTTTTTTGCGGCAACATGGCGATACTCGCAAGAACCAAAACTTAGGTCATATTTAGAGTGTGCAGGTTCGGGGCTTTAGGGCTGTCGGTGTGTTTTTGGTTTCGT